GAGAAAGTTCTTGATACTCGTTTTCTTCCTCCTATAAAATTTTATGATTACTAATATATTAGCTTTATAGTTTTTTTTTTTAATAAACTGTGGCAGTTTTTGAAAATTTTGATTTAAAGAATAACCCTCCGTACCAAAAGAGGTTTGAATCTGGGGCATAAGAGAACCAACCTCCTTGTGTTACTACTAAGTCACCACATATTTGGTATTAGCTTTATAGTTGAATATAAGTCGTTGATTTCTTAAAGCATTAATGTGGAGCATGCCTGCATGCATGAGATTTGAAGAAATATAAACGTAATATCTTCTTTTTATTAATTGGACAAAGCAAACTTGCACATGAAAAAATCAGAAAGAAACAGGACGTAAACTTACAAACATATCTGACTACTAATTGCATGCATGATGAAAGACCATTGATTGATCAACAAACATGTTTCAAATTTATTGCAATAAAACTCTTAAGATATTTTGGAAATGATGAGAAAGCTTTTCCCTGCTTGGATTCTCTCTTTCACTCTATGTTTCTTTTATAACAATCACCGCTAATGGTTTCGCCTTGTCTTTGTCTTCTTGTGTGTATCGTGTTCTCCTGAAAAAGTATATATAATATTCAATATAATTATAGTCGTGCATGCATCCACATAGGCTTTTAGTTGTTAATTTAATTAACAAGGTGTGTATTGAGAGAGTAATTACCATGATAGAGAATTCTAATAGTGGTACGGAGGAGGAGGAGATTTGTAGAGGTAAGGATGGTGTGGAGGAGAGTAGTGGTGGACTGGAGGGGGAGGAGGTGATTTATATACGTACTTTTCCTTTGGTGGTGGTGGGGAATGGTAAACCGGAGGAGGAGAATAGTGTTTAACCGGAGGAGGAGGGGATTTGTATACGTAGTGCTTCTTTGGTGGTGGTGGGGAATGGTAAACTGGAGGAGGAGAGTAGTGTTTCACTGGTGGTGGTGGAGATTTGTAGACGTAATGCTTCTTTGGTGGGGGTGGGGAATGGTAAACTGGAGGGGGAGAATAGTGCTTAACCGGAGGAGGAGGAGATTTGTAGACGTCGTGTTTTTTAGGTGGGGGTGGGGAATGGTAAACTGGATGGGGAGAATAGTGTTTAACCGGTGGTGGTGGAGATTTGTAGACGTAGTGTTTCTTTGGTGG